TGATAAAATAAAAAAATAAAAAAAAATTATTTAGATTTTATAAGAGTAAACTAGTTATTTTTTGAATAGCTCTCTCATCCCTCCCCTCTTATGTCAAATAAGGTATCATTAAAATGTCTCTTTTTTCTTCCCCCGATCAATCTAAACAAAAGATTATTAAAATTCCTCTCCTCTCTGCCCTTTCTTCCCCTCCCCTTTATATCTCTCCTCCCTTTTTCTGTCCTCCTCTTCGCTCTATTGAAATCCCTTCCCCCCCTTTTACCGAGCCAAACATAGTGTTAAGCTTAGGGCGACCGTGAAGAAAGGCCGCAATCGTGAAAGAGAGCATATGACGGCCAAGGACGACAAAGTAAGAAGTTGCAGCGGCCATTAATACACAAGCTCATGAGTAGAATTGTCAGTGACTCGAACTGACGACAACGTAATCAATGAAGGAAAGGATGCACGATCTAGCCTATGGGCTACGAATTGCTCTTTGACTTGGAGAATTTATCCATCATAGTCAGATTCCCTTACCCACCTTCTCCAAACAGTTTTGAACTGTATTTTAGTTTGATTTCATATATTGATTCAATCAGTCATAAATCTTCACTGTGAATCTTCTTATGCAGTTGAAATAGAATTTATTTTTTTTAAAAGGAGGAAGCACCGTTCCCTTGTTGCATTTTCTAATAAAGAGAAATAAAGTGTGTATGAATCAGTAAGAAATTTGATGGCGTTTAGAAGAAAATATATTTTTTGTCACTGAACCAAAAAAAAAGATATTTTTTCAATCTTATTTTAACAATGTTCAAGAGTTATTTTGGGGTTAAATAACGGTGTGTAAAATTAATTTAGCTGGCATAATTTGATTGGCTAACTTGACGTGTTTGACTTAGGGTGTGTTTGGATGAAACCAAACCGTGGTTTAGAAAAGTGATTCTGGAGAATAGATTCTGGGGAATAGATTCTGTGAAGAATAGATTTTGTAAAAAAGTGATTCTGAGAAGTGAGAGTGTTTGGATAGTTGTTATCAGAAGCACTTTTTATATATACAAATTACTAAAAAAAAGACATAAGTTAATATGATAATTACAGAAAAATAGATTTTATGATATATTTTAATTTGAAGGAATAAAATTGTTAATAATATATTTTTTACCAACATAATTAATAATACATAAGATAATATAATTAATAAATAATTAATGTGTATATATATTTATAAAATATAAGATTAAATATGTTTATCAAAAAATATGTTTATAAAAAAAATAACAAGATACATATCATATAGGCTCTCACACTCTCCCTTTTTTCTCCAAAAGCAAAAAAATTTTGCTTTTTCCAAAACCATGGTTTTGGAGTCAAAACCATGGTTTTGGTTTTTAGAGGGGGTGTTTGGGTGATTGACACCCCAAACCATGGTTTGGGATGTCACCCAAACACACCCTTAAGTAACTTGATGTAAGTTTTGTCCTTTTAGAAAAATATTATAATTTCAAGAGACAAGGTAGATTGGGATTTTATATTTAAAATTAAATTAAATCTAATTTTCAACTAGTTCTTATATTAAAAACGAGAACTAGTATGTTGCTTTGACCAAAAAAATTATAAAATAATTATTTGAATTATAATTGCAGTAAGAACACACACACCCAGCTAGGGTAAAAAGATTGAAGATAGAATTCACGAGATCTGGGCATGCGAGAGAAAAAAGGAGAACTGTTTTATTGGTAGCAACAGTAAAAATGAAAAGGCAGGAGGGAAAAGTGGGGGAGAACCAGGTCCAAAGTGAGGACCGGTTCGGTTCATATAAGCCACAGCTACCTCCCCACCCTTACACGTTATTTTATGACGACCCTTCATCTAAGCCCAGTGGCTCATCACTCACTCTCTATCATCACTAAACTTGAAAACATTTCAAGGCACCCCAAAATGGAACCTTTTTTTTTTTTGCATTTAAAATTTTTTTGTTTGGCCTTTTGGGGTCCTCCTAATTACACATAATATCCATGACCATCACCAAAAATTTACATAAAAAAAAATGACCCTTCTTAAAGAAAGGCTCATTCTTCATTTTGCTAGCTAAACCACCACAAAAATGGCAGTTTTTATAGGGTTTTGGAAAGAACATGAGCCTTAAATTTACAGACAGTGATGCATATATATATATATATATATTAAAAAGCTGAGACCCCACTTTAAAAGAAAATTTGCTCATTATTTTCATTCAATGAAATCCCGCTCCGGCGGATGGCTTGAAGTCCGGTGGTGGTGATGGCAGCAAGATCATCGATAATATGCCACTAGCAGCGGCCGCCACGGCACCCGCAACAAACGCCGGCAAGTTACCACCACCGAAGAGTGCATCCCATGGTCCGTTAACAACCGATACAAACATCTGTATTGAAGGAAGTTAAAGAGATTAGCAGTATGTAAAATATTAAAGGCAGGGACAAATGCATATACTATTTTCGGTACTTAATATAAGAGTTAGTTTGACATTTAATTTAATCTTAAATATAATATTCTAATTTACTTTGTCTCTTATATTTATTTTTTTAAAAAAAAATTGACCTTGTAATAGTTGTATATGTTAAATGTTTTATTAAATGGTATAGCTCTAGTTAAGACATATCATATACGACTGTAAGGGTAATTTAGGAAAAATAACCCTTGTTTATTACAAATAATTAACTTAACAATTTTTTTAATTTACTCAAATTAGTCAACTAATACTTATATATTAATAAGTGGAAGTAGGATTTCTAAAGAGAATAAGTTATGAATTAATAATCACCTGTGGCACGACAATTGCAAGGTTGAGAACGGCTAGAGATAGCCCTGAAAATTTAGGTAAATAAAAGAATAAATAAAACATGTATAAATTTCAGTTCAAATAATTAAAGTGAGATACACGAATCAATTAAAGTCTAATCTTAACATTCAGTGGGTCTTGGCTTTATTAAAATGCTTGCTTAATCCATATACCTTGGCCTGCGCCTGAGGAGTTGGAGAAAATGGATGCAAGGGCAAAGGGAATACTGTAAGTGATCTGCAAAAAATTAAAAGGGCAAAAACAAAAAAAAAAGATTTAGTGATTACAGTATAATTAGAATTTCGTGGTTTTTATGACTGCAGAACAGAAATTACTTTCCTGGGAATGATGTCAAACACATCACTTTTGGCATCAGTCAACCCCAGTCAAACTTGCCAAATCAGATTTTATTTATTTATTTTTTATAAAGTAGTTATTAAAAAAAAAAAAAAAGATTCATGAGCGACTCACCGCCAGGGGAATCCCGAGCAAGGCAAAGAGAGACAACGCGGCGCCGTTAACTCCGGCAGAAGGCGGGAGAGGATCATCAGAGCCGGGGCCGAACCGCCGTGAGTTCTCGGCCAACTTAGTGATCAACACGGTGGAGGCCAAGCAGGCGGCGAGCAGGATGTTCACAATTCCCCACAGTCTCTTCACGCCCCCAACCGCACGCGCCAACACCTCCACGCCCAACGACACCACACCCAACACCACCGAGTTCAACATAAGCCCCAACGATCCGGCGTGCACCCCTTATCGTACGCCTTCCCTTCCCCAACCTTTCCCCCGTACACCTCCTTCGCCATCCAGTCTGTGTCGAACATCAAGAAGGGGAACCAAGCAATCCAGTTGAGACACGTCACCAGGAGTAGAAGCCACATCGGCCTCTTGAGCTCACGGAATGCCCCCAGCATCTGTCCGAAACACGGTAAGCTTCCTGATCCCTCCTCCACTGAATCATCACCCTCGGTCCCGCCTTTTTGCGGTTGGAACGGCTTCTCCTTCACGTAAAACAGAGCGATGGCTGTGAGAAAGACGAGAAGAGCGATGGATATGAAGAAGCAGCTCTTTAGGTTGGCGCAGTATTCGTTGCAGGCGTCGGTTTTGGTGAAGGAGAAGCTCTTGTAAAGCTTGCCGTCGGCTCCGGCGGCGTAGCCGAGAACGTTTCCGACGGCCATGAAGAACGAGAAGAAACCGTTTGCCGATCGCGTCTTTCGGCTGTCCCCGGCGGCAAGGTCGGCTAACAGTGCTCGGCACGGGCCTTGGAGCATGTTGTTGGCCACATCGAGGATCCAGAATCCGAAGACGAAGATCCCGATGGATCGCGGTCGCGTTTTTTTGTCGAGAGAATCGCCCATCGTATGGCCGAGATCAGCGGAATAACCGATCAAGAAAACGGCGACAGCCACCGCTAGTGTACCAACGGCGATGAAAGGGCGCCGGCGGCCGAATCGGGAGGTGCAGCGGTCGCTGTGGTAACCAACAACTGGTTGAACCAGCAAGCCGGAGATCGGACCACAGAGCCAAATGAAGGAAGCCCAAAAGTGGGGCGTCCCGAGGAGTTGGACGTAAGGAGTTAGCAAGGAAAGCTGAAGTGCCCATCCGAAATTAATTCCGGCGGCAATGGAAGCGACGACGATTATTTTCCGGAGAGGGCTAGCTTCTGGAGGAGAGGCAGCTGCTTCAACTTGAACAGAAGGAGGTTTGGTGTTGTTTTGCTTAGTAGCCATGATAGCTCAAAGAAACAAAATAACTGATTTGAGCGTGGCTATGGGTTTATTGAAGCCAGAGGGAGAGAGCCGCTTAATTTATAACGAGGAAGAAGGAATGAGTCTGCATGCAACTGTACCGAGAACCAGAATCTGAAGAAAGTGGGGACCGGTGGGCGAGGCAGGAAAAGTCGATAAGTTCCTTCCTTATCTGAAAGGCACAAACTAAGGAGATACTGACAATTAAATTCACATGAGAAATTTAACATATAATTAATTTCATTACATTTGCTGACACTATTTACTAAAGTAAACTAGAGTTTTCATATTTTATATTATTATTTTTAGTTTTTTTAATATATAGATTCTCTTGAAAAAATATTAAAGATAATTATATACCTTGTCCTAACATTTGACTTTACTTTTTTTTTTTTAATGTTAAAAACTCTCCAACTCTCATTCCTGTTATTCAGGTGCTGCTCTGGCTCCTTCTGTTTATTTTTAGGCTTTTTAGCTCCTTTATGTAAACAAAAACAAAACTTGTATGGATCTTTCTCTTCTTCGACACAAACTTCCATAAAATACGGTGCAGAGAGGGGCCGCTCACGCTTAGGCTGTATTCACTTGGTTGATAAGAATGAATCAACGTTGAGTTTTGCCCTTGGTTTTGGATCAAATAACAAGCTGTGAGCTTACGGGGTACGTCATCTCAATTCATTTGATTTCTGCACGCTTGTGTGTTTGAAGTTCAGTTTCAAATGTCCTCTGCTTGCTACAGTGACTACTTTCTCATGATTTCATAACTAATTTAATACTAATCGGACATGGCACTTGCTGTAATTTTTGGTTATCTATTAACTGATGCAATTCTGCGTCATGATATCTTCTCTGTCTTCTGCATGATGATGATGTTGGCCGAAATTTTGGTATACTTGAGTTTCGAGTTTTCATAAGAAGTGCTTTGTAAAATCTGTGCTGCCTCTGGTATGCTGTACAGAATAGACTGCCAACTCCTATAATTGTGTTGCATCGCAGTGTTTCAATTGTGCGTAGAAAAGTAGGACCAAGATATATGGTCTTTTCTAGTTTGGGCGAGTTTAAGCTACGACTATGCTCCTCTACTTTTGTTGTGTTACAGTTTAAAATGACATTTTGGCATTCATAAATAGGAATTCAACAGATGTAAATTCTCAGTTTTGATGGTTAATTTTATTGTCATAATATCTGGTCTTAATGGTATGTTGAGCTGGCGTTGATTGATACTTGTAAGCACATGTTTCTGCCAAATGTTCTGTGTCTTTTAATTTTATTTTATTTTATTTTCCTTGGCCTGTGCCAGGTGTTGTGTCTGAGTTCTGAAATTCCGCACTTTTGTTATTAAAATTGTTAAGATATGATATTCCGAAATACATGCAGTTTACTTTTCAAATTAAGGTTATATTTTAGTTGCACAAGTACTGTAGAATATAAGATCAGCTTCCTCTTTGCATCACTTATAAATATAACCTTGTACCAGCTCCAAGTCTCTGCCTATACCCTCTGAAATACAATAAAATGTTTCCTTCAGTTAACCAATAAAGGGTTTGTACTGTTCATTGTGAACAGTATAAACTGTTGTAAACTTTACATTTAATATTGATGATCGATATTGACTTAAATTCAGTTTGGTTGAGGGGTGTTCAAAGTTCAGCTTCAAACATCCTCTGCTTGCTTCGTCGTCTGCTTTCTCATGACTGCAGTATGTGACTTGAAAAATTAATGCTATTCACTTTGCACTTGCTGTAATCTTCTAGCTATCTACCATGTGCTGGCACTTGACGTTCAGATCATGATCTCTTTTCTGTATTCTGGTTAATGATGTTGGCCGAAATTTTGTCATATTCATTTTGTTCTAAGTTTTCGAGTTTTGATAAACAGTTTACTGAAACCTGCAATACCTTAGATATCCAGAACCAGTTTCAATACTCATCACTTTAATAAGTACCCTAAACTGATTAGATCTTGATCGTTCATATCTCATTTAGTTGGTTCGAATGTGATTTTTTTGTTTAAAATAATTATTTTAGTACGAGTAAAATCTAAAATAGAAATAATTTCTTAACTACCATTTTTTCAAAAAAAAAAATTTTTTCTATTTAAAAATAGTAATTAAAAATTTTTAAATCTAGACCGTTCAAATCACATATAAACAGTCCAGATCTAAGTAATGAAACTTGTTCCTGACTTCCAATTGCTATACTGTGTTTTAATTGTATGCAGAATATTAGGATGAAGATAGATGTATTTTCTCTATTTTGGGTGAGCTTCGCTAAGATTAAGGCTGTGTGTGATGTAAAATTGAGGCTTAAAGTTTTGCATTGATTCTGCTTTCGGTGCGTTAAAGTAAAATTGTGGGATCTATAAATAGGAATTTTGGACGGCTGTGAATCCAGTATTGATGGTTCTTTTTCTCATGCCAAGACATCTACTTTTTCTTATGTTACGTTGTGTCTGTGTTGATGGGTTCTTATCAGCCTAAGTTTTTGCCAAATGTTCTGTGTCTTTGATCTGAGATTCTGCACTTATATTCTGTTATCATCAATACAGTGTTCTTGTGAGATGTGCGGCATCTTCAGTCTAAATGCGCCCCCAAGTGCTACCAAAAAATGCTGCCACCGCTCTTGCTTTGATTCAGGTTAGTGCAAAATTTATGTTTTACAGAAGACATTAAATTAAGCCCGACTTTTTAGATGCTTTGATTTGAATATAAGCAATCTATGAGACTTCACTCCTGCTTGTGCTTGATGGTGCTAAATCTTAGGCAAAATATACGAGTATTTCACTTGAAGGAAAGTTAGGTCTTTAATGAGCTTTGGTCAGTTTTTCTTTTTTAAAGTTACTGTGCCATGCCTTAATTGGCGGCTGCTAAAATTTGTTTGAGAAATGATGCATTTTCTATTTCATAATTACTGTCTGTCAAAGCTACAGATAATGAATCCCTCCCCTCTTTTTCCCATCTTGTGCTTTTGGAAAAGTTTTCACTGTTCAGTAATAACAATGTTATCCATGGGCCTGATTGCATTTGAACGGCCCACTTTCAGTGAACATTGTTTCAAAAAAGAATCCAAACAAATGAAGTCTTGGTGTTAAAAAAAGAAGTTAATTAAATCAAATCTAAGAAAAAATAAAATCATAAAAAAATTCGGACCGCTTGATTGATGGATAGGAAATGATCTTTTTATCCTCTTTATTTTACTTTCATGATCGGTGTTTAATAATATTTACTTTTTATCAGTTTCTTCATCTTTAAGATTATTTCTCTTTTTCTTTTTTCTTTTTTATTCTTTTAAATATACTTACCTTGACACTTTAGTGATGTTCATTGGGACTTTAGATGACTTCAAGATTTAAACTCGTGCTCACGGGTGAGAGACGAGTTTCACTCATATGATCACTTTTATTGGCAAGCAAGGATTATGTTTGTGTTTGCCACGATAATAACTTTGAATTTCTTTTAAAAGAACTGAAAATCATTAATTAAGGGAGAATGTTTTATAATTGAAAATCTCTTAATTTCTCTTTTATATATATCAATATTTGCCTCCTCCCCTGAAGGCATTCCATGTAAACCAAAACAATACAATGTTGATTTTAGGCCAAATCATTCGCGTAGTAGCAAGGTGGAAAGCAGACACAGAGATTGTGGCAGAGCAAGAAAACACAGAAAAGAAGAAAAGATTATTGAGAATAGAAGGCACACAAGTTGCTTAATAATGGAAGATGATGAGAGAAAGAGAATGTTTTATTAGGAGCCACTGCCAGCAACAAAGATGGCAGGCAGAAGGGTTGGAGGAACGGGGTCACCAGTCCTATCCGGTTCGGTTCACCTAAACCAGCCTGGCCCCCCACCTGTACATTATGGTCATTTCCTCCCTCACTCAGTCTCCCTACCCCTGTTTGACGTACAAAGCACCCCAAAATGGACCCAGTTCTTCAAAAATGAACAAGGCTTCTTTTGGGGTCCTCCTAATTACACATATTCTTCATCAAACTTTACAATAAAAATGACCCCCTTAGAGTCATCCGTCACTTTGCTGCCACAAGGAGGGCAGTTTTAAATTCAAGCGTTTGTTGGACTTGGACACAGCATGAGAGGCTTTAATCATATTTAAGACCCGGGACCCCCATCTACAAAGAAAAAGGAAAACAAAAAACAAAAAAACAAAACCCCAAAAATAAAAAGAAAAAAGTAATTAATTGTTCTCTCTAATGGAAGCCTCCGGCTGTGCTCATCGTCTTTGCCAAGTCCGGTGGTGGAGACGGCAACAAAACCATCGACAATATGCCGCTGATTGCGGCAGAGATGGCACCTACAACAAACGCCGGTAGGTTACCACCACCGAACGCTGCGTCCCACGGTCCACTCACCACAGACACAAACATCTGTTTGGAAACAAAACCAAATAATTTATCAACAAATCTGGATGATAAATTTGGAAAACACAACAGCTTGTGAAAGAAACTGAGTGTCACAAATCACCTGTGGGATCACAATTGCCAGATTGAGAACGCCCAAAGACAACCCTGAAAAGTTGAAAGTTCAAATCAAACGGGTTAATGAGATGAATTAATTAATAATTGATGCCAATTCTAAGTGGGTATTGGTGGATTAAAAAAATGGTTCATTATTTTACCTTGGCCTGCCCCTGAAGAGGTGGAGAATATGGATGCTAGCGCAAAAGGGATACTGTAAGTAATCTGCACAACAAGAATGATCACCTCACTTTAGTATATCTCCCACAACATGCTTAGAGAAAGCTTTCAAACTTTTATTACTATTCTTTTACAGCGTCTGAGGGAATATTATGCTGTTTTCATACAATTCTTTAATAGTACGCCTAGTAGGCCTATCAAACATATAATAACAATTCTTAATTTTCATGTGATATTTTTTTTTATCATTAACAATTTGGCATCTACATCAATCCACACCAGCCCCGCTATTAATTTAAAAAGATATAATATCTGCAAGAGAAAACATGCAGAACTTCATGCCAACAGCCAACTCAGATTCCCCACAAATTTTTGTTTTTACCAGAAAATCTCTACAATAGGCCCAGTAAAATACAAAACAAGAGTTTCAAATATCCCTTGATATCACCAACCCCCCCCCCCCAACTTGCTCCTCTCTCGTTCATGCATGTAAGAAAAGCAGCGAAATTTCAGCTCCGGAATCACATGTCAAACTTTCCATTTTACTACAGTAAATCAGTACTGGATTAAATGTTAAACTTCCTCTTCAGTCTTCTAAAAAAACAAGAAGAATCTTCAATTTTAAATATTAAATTAGTATTTAAACAAGGAAAAAAACAGGAGTCACATAAAAGCAAATTAACGTGAACCAGTCACTCACCGCGAGTGGAATTCCGAGAACCGCGAAGAGAGTTAACGCGCCGGCCTTGATCCCGGTGGAAGGTGGCAGAGGATCCTGAGAGCCGGGGGCGAACTGCCGTGAGTGCTCGGCCAACTTGGTGACCAACACCGTCAAGGCCAAACATACGGCGAGAATGAAGTTAACAATTCCCCATAACCTCTTCGGGCCCCCAACCGCACGCGCCAGCACCTCCACGCCCAACGACACCACGCCTAACACCACGGAGTTGAGCATAAGACCCAATGCGCCAGCGCGCACCCCTCTATCGTATGCCTTGCCTTCCCCAGCCTTTCCTCCGTACACCTCCTTGCCCATCCAATCAGTGTCGAACAACAAGAAAGGGAACCAAGCAATCCAGTTGAGACACGTCACCAGGAGTAAAATCCACATCGGCTTCTTGAGCTCACGGAACGCACCGAACATTTGTCCGAAGCACTGGAATCCTCCTGATCCCTCGCCCACCGAATCATTTTCTCCCTCGTTCCCGCCAGTTCCTTTCTCAAGCGCCTTCTCCTTCACGTAGGTCACAGCAGCGATTGAGACAGTGAGCAGAAGAGCGATGGAGAGGAAGAAGCAACTCTTCAGGTTCGCGCAATATTCGTCGCAGGCCTTGGTTTTCGTGAACGGAAATACGTTGTGGAGCTTACTGTAGGATCCGGCGGCGTATCCGAGGACGCTCCCGACGGCCATGAAGAACGAGAAGAACGCGTTCGCCGTCCGAGTCTTCCTCTGGTCGCCGGCGGCGAGGTCGGCTAACAGTGCTCGGCATGGGCCTTGTAGCATGTTATTGGCCACGTCGAGGATCCAGAATCCGACGACGAAGATCGCGATGGCTCGGGGACGCGCTTTCTTCTCCAACGAGTCACCGAACATGTGGCCCATGTCCGCAGCGTAACCGATCAAGAAAACAGCGACGACGACGGCCAATGCACCGGCGGCGATAAACGGCCGGCGTCGGCCGAATCGGGAGGTGCAGCGGTCACTGTGGTATCCAACGACCGGTTGAACTATCATACCGGAGATGGGACCACAGAGCCAGATGAAAGCAGCCCAGGTGTGGGGAATACCGAGAAGCTGGACATAAGGAGTCAGCAAGGAGAGCTGAAGAGCCCATCCGAATTGAATCCCGGCGGCAATGGAAGCAACGACGACGATCTTCCGGAAAGGACTGGCCTCCGGTGGAGAGGTAGCAGGCTCAACCTGAAGAGAAGAAGGCTTAACCATATCGGTTTGCTTAGTAGCCATGAAAGAAGAAAGAAATGAAGTGATGACGAAGAGTGTTGTTTGGTTGAATGGATACGGAAGAGAGAGGGGAGGGGGAATTTAATTTATAGACGAGGGAGAAGGTTGCATGTAGGTACAGATGTAATTAAAGGAAAAGAGTGGGGACAGAGAGGGCAAATTAGAGGACCTTATCTTTTGCCTCACACGCAGATTAGTCTATATGTGTCATAAATTGAGGTGTATAGCACTAATTCTAAACTATTACACTCACTGTTCTCTTTATTTTGACCGGATTATTTAGTGGATAATCGTTTTATTATTATAAAATATCAAAAATAATTTTTTTTTCATAATGTTTGACATTTTACATACAATATTACAATATGTATACAAGCCGCTTAGTGTGTGAAGAGCATTTTTTTTCTGTAGGAGAAACTGATTTTTTTTTTGTAAACATCATATATAATATTTTGTAAATGGTACGAGTAATTGTTCATCTACAATATAATATAAAATTTAGATTTAAAGTCTGTTTTACCTGATGTACCAAGAGAGATTGATAAAAAGAAAACAAAGAAAATTTGTGAAAATTTTCTGTATTGATGGGAGGAATTTGATGTATTTTTATACACAGAAAAATATCTGTTGTTGAATGTAGATTTTTTTCCAATAAAATTTTCGAATTGAAAGTTTTCAATTTTTTTTAAAAAAGATAAATATCCTGATTTTATGAAAGTTAAGTTATTAAAAATGGAGCTGACTTTTTTTTATTTTTTATCAATGTCTTGGGTGAATTGTACTTTGATAAATGCAAATCAATACAGTATGGATAATTCTGTCAGGTGAATATTTTAAAAACCACAATAATTCATTTATGGCAACATTTGACTTTCACATATTCATGATAAAAATGCTCTTGTATTTACTTAAATGTATTTTTCCCCCCCTTGTTGAACAACACAAACTTCCATAAAAATTCAGATCAGCAGCTTGGAGGGGCCACTAGTTCTCAGCTAGCTAGCCTGCATTCACTTAATTGTCATCCATCAAATTTAATTCAATCCAATTAAAATACATTTACTGTCATTAATAAATTCATTTTTTATTAAATAAAAAAATCATAAATAGAGTAAATATCAGTTCAGTTAGTTGAACCAATGTTTTTTCTGAATCGGATAAGCTTCAGATAAGGTGACTCATGTATATGTATACAGTCTGGGTTTGAGTGCAAGAAAAGGCAACATGACGAAGAGGCTTTATGTCAAAGGATCTTAGAAATTTTAAACCATCCATTAATTAACACAATTAATCATTCTGATTCACTTTTACTATGAAACAAAACCTAATAATTAATCTCTTATAATAATTCAACCCAAACAATTACTTAATTCCACGACTTTAATTACTTTTCCTATACTCTGTAGTATTCCATGGCTATTATATTCTTCTAATTGGAATCTTTGTTCAGCAGATTCACACTCACATTGGTCGCTTTTGGTCTTCAATCTTCCAATGATGGTGACCATATCTAAGCAGGTGCATTTTCTCTATGGATAAAACCAAATTCTTTATTTTGTATTTTCCAGGAAACAGAAAAATTTTGATATAACTGAGCAGAATCTTTAAGTTAAATCTACGTCTGGTTTATTAGTTTCGGAGAAAATGATTAATGCTAGTTAATCTAATCCTAATCCATCCCCAGCATTTGACCACATAATTAGAAAATCTGCCTCAACTGTTAAGTATGAACTGAGTTTGCTTGCAATATCTGGATGACTCTAACTCACTAACTACTTCTCTGATGACTCATATTTATAAGATAAGAGAGAGACCTTTTTTTTTAAAAAATTTTATTTATAAGTGGCATTATGCAAATCTTATATAAATGTACAATTATATTTAGGTTAAGGTACAAATTTGTTCCAAGTTTTTTTTTTGTGTAAACTTGTCTTAGAAATTTGGACCTTAACGTTTATATCTTTTATTTATTATTACTCATCTAATCTTATTTATAGGGTATCGAGAAATTTTTTTTATATAGATGCGTAATTTTACCCTTCATTTATTATTGTATTGATTTTGTTTACATGAAATATAGTGTATATTAAACAGGAATAAAATTGAAAATTTGTTAAATTTTGAATGAAAGTTAATAAAATTTAAGATTTTTTTTTATCTGTATGAAATATGTTTTAAGTGATTTATAAATAGGACCAAAAAAGTATGTTACTTCTTGTCCTTATTATAAAATATAGTTTGTAATTTAAATACCAGGGTTAGTGTTAAATAAAAGTAAAATTTTAAAAAATATTTAATTTTAAGACATGATTAATGAGATTTAGTGTTTTGTATTCCAGTAAAAACATGTTAAAAGTGAATTATTTACGAGATTAGAGGAGCAATTATTACAGTCAAAATATTTCTCCCTCCGTTCCTTATTATAAGAGACAAATAACCGAAGTACGTTGATAAAAAAAACAGTTAAAATTAGTTAAGAACAATTAATGTGTAAAAAGTATATTTTTTTTTTCAAAAATGCCCTCATTAATAAAGAGAGAGAGCATGAGAGAGAATAATTAAATTATTAAAAGAAAGAGAAGTGGGAGGGAGAAAGAGTGTGAGTTGGAGATAATAAATATGGATAAAATAGTAAACAAACACAAAAATAAGACAACTTGTAAGTGTCTCTTATATATAGGAACATACCATAAGCATCAAATGTCTCTTATAATAAGGAAGAGAGAGAGTAGTTCTCTGCAGAATCTAGAAAGATAATGGATGTGGATATATAATTAATTATTTTAAAAAGTAAAAATACTTATTTAGCAATGCATTAATGGATGTTTGTTTTCAGATAAAGGAGAATGTGGAAAAAGGAAACACAGGTAATCCAAAATAATATATAAATATTCCAAAGTAGGAATTTGACATGTAGCATTATATCCATACCAATTAACGGGTTCTAAAGCGTAATTATTCGATTTTTTTAAAAAAAGAAATTGTTCTATATTTAAACGACAAAGATGGGAAGAAGAAGAAGAAAAAAAAGTAGTGTTGTATTATTATTATTATGGGCGGTTTCCAAAGTAACTTTAATTTTCTTATTTTATTTTCAACTAAACTTTATTTTATTCGTTTATCTCGGTTTTGAATTTCATTCTTTAATTATACTTTTGTTTTTTTAACCAAAATTTTACTATTTTAAAAACTTATCATAGTAGTTTATCTACAACGATATGTGAATATATTATTTGACTTACCAAATATTAATTTAGTGGCACTAAAAAGCCCTAAATAATTTCATAAAATTTGAAAAAATAAAATAAGAAATTATTAAAATATAAAAAACTACTATTAGTGAGTCATTATGTTTATAAATTATAAATATAAATAATGGGCTTCAAGGCATGTAGAGATGAAATAACAAAATCTAAAAAAAAAATTAAGAAAATAAGGTAGGGGAAAATAAAATAATTGAATTGAATTTTTGGCAAATAAAATACTCTAGAAAAAGGTTTTAAGAAAAAAAGGTAGGCGTGATGAAAATTAAAAGGAGGAGCGAAGTTTGGGAGGGAAGAGGTTGGGAGTTAACGCGTTGACTAAGTGGGACCCAGCGACCGACACACTCGATGGCCGAACAGGACGACGACGTCCTGACGTCATTGGTTATATCCTCCGAACTCGGACTAAAACTGGCGACCAACGGACTACGCGGATGCTTTTTTATTTTTCTAAATTATTTTCCCATTTCCACAGATATTTCTATTTTCCTGACCTTTACGAATTTAATTAGAAAAATCTTCTATTTAAAAGTCTGAGAAAATTAATTTTTTTCTTATTTATAATTTATAATTCATATTGTTAAATTTTTAACATTAATATACTATTTTATTTTTTATTATGTGAATTGTTATTTTTTTTAAGTGTATACATTAAATTCCGATAAAACACACTAATACTCGTATGTTAGAAAATGCTTATAAATAGGACTAGAAGAAGAAATATTTTCTTTCATGTGCAAAAATTGTCACATAAATTAAATTGGTGGAATTAATGTGTGAGATTTTCATTATAATGTTGAAATTATTAAATGTATGATAAATGATAAATGTAAAGGATTTATTAATTATATGTGTTGAGTAAATTAAAAATACTCATTGTTGTTCTCTACGCGATAAGTATTTAACAGGTTAATAAATAGAGACTGAGAGTCAATCCAGTGGAAGTGTGCGCATCCCAAAGGCTAATAAATAAGAGGTCGGGGAATTTTTGTGGAGAAAAACAAGAAGAAGGGAAACCGAATATTTATTGAAGCAAACAAATATCCTGAGAGAGCAAAAATCTGAGAGAGAAAAGTTTAATTTAAATATAAATTTAAAATATCAGTAAGTGCTTCTTCCCATCCTTAGTAGTTAATAATCACTCGCACAAACAAATAATTAAGTTAATTATGAAGGTAAAAATTAGTTGAAAGTAGTTACTCTTAATTAGTATTGTTATGATTCTACTCCTTTGATGGTTTTTATAAGACAGAAAAAATAAATGTTTTAGTCTTATTTATAGAGTTGAAAGATAATTTTTTTTTATGTGAATGTACAATTATATTATGTATTTATTATTGTGTTGATATTATTTTCATAGGATATAATGTATATTAAATAAGTATAAAGTTAAAAACTTGTTAAGCTTTAAAATATTGTTAAGAAAATTTAAGGTTTTTCTTGATCTCTATGAAACATGATAGAAGTGAGTTATAAATAGAAGCAGAGGAGTATTTATGAGTCATTTTCAATATGTTTCGCTAGAATCAAGAAAACCTTAAATCTCATTAATTCTGTCTTAAAATTTAACAACTTATATGCTTTTACTCTATTTAATATATACTTCTTCCAATCTTTATTATGAGCTTCAAATAACTAATTTACAGATAATGAACAATTAGTTAAAAATAATAAATAGGTTAGAAATAAATTTTGCGTTCAAATATGTCTTTATAATAAATGAGAAAAAGGATAAAAGAGAATGTAGGAAAAAATGTGATAAGAGAGAAATAATTAAGGATAACATTTAAAAAATTACATTAAATGTT